TGGCTGGTGCCTTAGCCACTTGAGCCACAGGCACCAAGCCAATGCTGACACTTTCAACACATAATTAGAACAATTTCTAACCCCAGGAGCATCTTCTTTTCCTGATTTGGGACAAAAGCACAAAATAAACAAAAAAAATCAAAGCAGGGAGAACCCAAGATACTAAACAGAAAACAGATCATTATTTTCCTTTTCCTTTTTTTTTAGACAGAGTCTCACTCTGTTGCTCTGGGTAGAGTGCGGTGGCATGAGCCTAGCTCACAGCAACCTTGTATTCTTGGGTTCAAGTGATCCTCTTGCTTCAGCCCCTTGAGTAGCTGAAACTACAGGTGTCTGCCACAGCGTTCAGCTAATTTTTCTATTTTTGGTAGAGACAGGGTCTCACTCTTGCTTAGGCTGGTCTTGAACTCCTGAGCTCAAGTAATCCTCCTGCCTCAGCCTGACAGAGTGCTAGGATGACAGGCGTGAGCTACCACACTTGGCCTAAAATTAGCATTTTCACGATGTATGAATTGAATGCCAGGAGGCAGGGATATTTCCACTATGCTAAAATCGCAGTCAGGAGTCAGAATTCCCATCAGTCTCATTCAGACAAACCAAAGAACTGTGCCGGGATGTGATGTGTCACAGAGAAGTCACTGAAGGAAGCTCAGGTAACACTGAAAATTCCACCTGGAAATTTGTGTATGTGTTTAGAGATGGGGGTCTCATTCTATTGCCCAGCCTGGAGTGCAGTGGTGTGATCAAGCTCAATACAGCCTCAACTCCATGGGCCCAAGCCATCTTCCCACCTCAGTCTCCTAAAGTTCTGAGATTATAAGCATGAGCCTCTGTGCCTGATTAAATGAATGCCTGCTACCCTAAAGTTTTTTGTTGTTTCTTTTTTGAGACAGAGTCTCACTATGTTGCCCTGGGTAGAGTTCTATGGCATCACAGCTCACAGCAACCTCAAACTCTTGGGCTTAAGTGATTCTCTTGCCTCAGCCTCCCAAGTAACTAGGACTATAGGTGCTTGTCACAACGCCCAGCTATTCTCTGGTTGCAGTTGTCAGTGTTATTTGGGAGGCCAGGGCCAGGGTTGAACCTGCTAGCTCCTGTGCATGTGGCTGGCACCCTAACCACTGAGCTACGGGCACCAAGCCTACTCTAAAGTTCTATAATCTGATTTTCCCATGAAGATACGCTATCCAAAGTAAAGAACACACACCATAATATACCTTTATCAATGCTCTCATATACCCTAATTCTGAAATTAATACAAAGAAAAAAAAATTTTTTTTGCAGTATTTGGCCAGGGCTGGGTTTGAAGCCGCCACCTCC